ACACACACACACACACACACACACACACACACACACACACACACACAGCATGCAGTCTGATCTATCTCATCATATCACTTTTATCTCCACAGGTGGCAAATTTAGCCCTCTGGCTCACTGTCAGCATGTCTAGAATAAACAAACAGACACAGACATACACAGAGACCAAAAGAGCTATCCTGTCATGCTGGTTCAAAAAGGAAAAAGTCTACCACAGCTTTAAGTCTTCGCCTTCTGGCTTTCTTTCTATCTCCCCATCTATCTGGAGCCAGCCCTCTAAACGTGGCCTAACACATTCTGTCAGCAGCTCCACAGGTGAGCCAGTCTCGGCTCACGACAGCGTCTCGCACCACGGAGAGCGAACGCCAATGCTCGTCTAGCTTTCTCTGATTCCATCACCTCCTTCCCTTCCTCTTTTTAATCCTTCACACTGTGTCGCCATCCCTTCCTTACTGCCCTGCCTCATCTGATCATACAAGATGCACCCCGGGGGTCGCTGCTGGAATTTCCTTGCTTTTTTTTCCTGCAAAATATGACACCGGGCCCATTTCATCCTACACCACCCTCCTTTCCAGGCTTTGGAGGCTTCCTGTAAGTAACCCAACCTTGCAGTCATCCTTCAGCCCACTCAACACAGTCCACTGGTTCCTGGCCACGCCAAGGTACGCTAGTCAAAATGTAATTTTCTGCAAGATTACACATGATAATGACTCGCTTTTGGAGGGCCGCCACAAATGATGACTTCCAATTATAGATGCACAACTATCGATCGGTCAACAGGAGCAGTGAGGAAGAGGAGAGGAGCTGTAGAGATGTACAGTAATGTTGTGTTTACTGACATCTCTCTTGACGCCCCACACACACACACAAAGACACGCTGCTGCAGGCGAACTAGAATAGCTGAATAATTGCAACTGAACTGCTTACAAAGTCTGACATAGGCTGGAAAGCAAGTATTGATGGGAGCCAATAAAAAGCCTGAGAAATAAGTTCACCTGGGAGCAGAGTAAACCTTCACCTGGCCACACACACACACACACACACACGCACACACACACACACACAGATATATATTGTGCGCACCTCTGTTTCCATTCAAACACCACATTGGACTGTTTCTAAGCAGACAGAAACAAAAACACATTTCATTTGCTCCGATTACAAGAAGCTTGCACCTACTTCTTGCCATTCGCTCATCTTAATGCTTTTGCTCAGCACTTACTGTCAGTTTCATCCACTGGCTGGATGGCTGGTCCTCCGCTCTACAGCTGCAGTCAGTCAGTCAGTCAGTCTCAAGGACAAACGCTCCGGCTCTCCTCGCCTCCGGTCTCTGTAGCTCAGCGATGCAGCAGCGCGCACACACACACACACTCCCAAACACACACAAATACATAAACACACACACACACACATGCATTCCCCTCTCCCTCTTTCTCTCCTCTCAGCGTCTCACTCTCATCCAGTGCTGAGTTTACCTACCTGCCTATAGCTTGCTGGCAGGGGGAGTCCTGAGAGTGTGTGTCAGACGGAAAGTGTGTCTAAGAGGGGTTGGGGGGTGGGGGGGCAGGCAGCGTTCCCTTATATGCAGAGGGAGGTGGTGAGTAGAGGGGAGGGTAGAGGACACACAGCGCTCCTGTATTCCCATAGATACAGAGGAGGGATTTCTATTGCAGCCTTGCAAAGACGGGAGACAAGAGGGAGAGAGAGAGAACAGAGGGAGGGAGACAGAGGGAGCATCATATTTCAGCGATGTTGAGTCAGCATGTGAATGCGATGCATGTGTTGATGGGAGTTGGGCATACTTAGAGGGCATGTTGTGGATTAAAAAGGAAAGCTGCGAGTGTGTTTGTGCGAGAAAAGCCAACAGACCAGAAAGTTCTCCTAGTTTGTATCTAATCAGTGGATGTTACAAGAGGCTCAAACGCTGACGTACAATCATGAATCAGCTTCACCACCACCGGACATAAGATGTTTTTCCAACAGGTTTCATGTCACAGTTGTATTTCCATCTGATAAGTAACCACTGACTGAGAGAAAAATGAAACCCTCACGAAGGTCTCTGTGGCAGCTGTGAGAGCTAGCGAGTTCTTTTTAAACATTTATTTTTGCCTGTCTGAAATATTGGCATCACCAATATCATTGGCTTTTAACTTACTACAGGTACATCTGTATTGACGTGAATGTTGGCCAATTGGAAACAAGACAAGAGGAAACAGCGAGCCTGGCTGCGTCCAAAGGTACAAGGGCCTCTAAAGCTCCGAAATGAAGACGTAAGACGTTGCTTGTTTAAGTTATATTTAGCCAGGTCTCCAGGATTCAATGTTGATACTGCATGTTTCTGCAAACAAGACAGGTATTGTTTAACTTTTGCAAATCGGTCAGAGAAAGTGACACAATGAGCGACTGATATTAAAAGTTACGTGGTATAATAACTAGTATGACAAATGAGAAAGTTACCGAAGATTGGGTGGGTCAAACAAACACAAGACTTTCACGCAGGAGACCGCCGTTCGGGTTCCTGTTATTTAAGCTAGTTACAGTTGTGAGGTTACATTGTTACAATGTAACCATATTGTTTTAACACAATTCATGATATTTTTTCAAACCTAAACCAAGTACTTTGTTGCCTAAACCTCACTTCAGAATGTTAACCACGTGGCACTGTGCGATTCTGCAAGCGTGACACAAGACTGATGGTATTTATGAAACATATTTTTGTTTCAGAAACGTTAACATTTAACGTATCCCCTGGTTTGCAGATAACATTTTTTTTGGGCTACTTGGTGGCCTTTTACCACTTCCGTTTTTCCGAATTGCTAGACTCTAAACGATGCTGGTTTGTGGATTTTGTTACATTTGGACAGAACAAGGTTAGCCCGTTTCCTGTTATGCTAAGCTAAGCAGCTGCTGGCTTCATATTCATATTTTCATCCAATTCTCCGCTAGAAAGAGAAGCACATTTTCCAAGCTTTCACACTACTCCTCAAATGGATGCTTATCGAAGAAGTTTGATTTGGTTTTTTTTAATATGCACACAGCAAAGTACGTAATTATCTGTTTTTCACGGGATATAAATATTGGCTTCAAGTTTAATACTTTCCCTGACACCTCACACTTCTCTGAACAGGCCTGGTGGGTAAAAGAACACCCACATGGTGCTCAATGGTTACAACAGAGCAAAGGAAAACAATATACTCACAGTACAACTTCCTGCACATTTATAAATTCAGAATTTCAATTTTTATTTTGTTTTTCCAGACATTAACTCTCTAGCTGCTCTTAAAATAATTTCAAATCTGTGTTCAGGACAATCTATGGTTGTAGGTAAACTTTAACCCAATAGCCCAAACAAACAAACAATGGGACTAAAAGTAAATTTAAAAATATAATTAAAGTAGCACTTCCTGTTTTTAAAGGACCTGCCGCTCACACAGGTGTTTTCACTTCTACCTGATTAGACCTGAAGCACAGCCTACACTCGCCATTAGTGCTAATTAAGTGGAAACACCTGTGAAACAAATGGTATTAAGGACCTTTATGATAACAGCTATATATATATATATATAGATATATATATATATATATATATAGATATATAGATATATATATATAGAGAGAGAGAGAGAGAGAGAGAGATATTCAACTTCTGAAGACATTGAAAAGAGCTAAATTTATTAATTCTCTCTTTCACTGGGATTTCCATAACTGTAAGGAGACGCTGAGGGCTTGTAACCAGACAATAAAACAGCCATTTCTTCATGTAATGTAGGTGAAGTCATTGAGCACGGCTATGGCAGGCTAAATACTGCAGTATAAACATGTGTCAGGATAAAATACCGAAACAAACTGCATAAAATAGTCAAAAGTCAGCAAGACTTTGACTCCTGTGTTTTCTTAGTAAATGTCAGCAGAACCTGCAGCAGCCACAGCTGTACATGCATACGCAGTGGTGCTACAATCAAGGGGAAAACGTGGGTTTGATTTAATCTTTTTCTTGTTCTTGGGTAGATAAAAACATTCTGATGATATGACTTTTTCCATTAAATGAACAACGTAATAGAGGGGGGGGAAGATCCAGAGAACACACATCCATACAGTGTACTTTTACTTCATTACCTTAAAAAGAAAGCTGAAATAAATCTCGAGGTACGACCTGCTCAAACAGCCTTTGATTCCAAATATACTGTGCAATATTGGACAAAACCATTGATGGTTAATTCACTAACCAATACCGTTGACTGAAAACAAACCACACTCATCATCGGCTCAGGATAACATTAACTATGGAGGCGTCAACGTCATTTATTTTCTCCAACATGGAGTTTCTTGAGAAGTTTGCAAAAAAGTATTTTCTCCAGCTCAGTTTCGTTCACGTCTCTCTCTCTCTCTCTCTCTCTCTCTCTCTGGAAATCCCCAGCTTCTTGCAGTTTCCCCAATATGGGAAAGTTTCTCTTTCATCACAGACTGTTGCTAGGTAAAACCTCATTCCTTCCCTTCTTATGACTCGCATGCCTGGATTATTCTGGACCGTTTTTTTTTTTTTTTTTTTTTTAATCGTTCATCGCCCTGAGCAGCTGTTCCGTCTGCCTCGCTCCTTGTAGGTCTTTGGGCCCGCTTCAGGTTTAGGATGCAGACACCAGGTGTTCAGTTGAAACCTAGACCGGTGCCTTTGGGTCTCTGTGTGGCCCGGACGGGCTCGGTGATGCCCCGGCCCTCTGGACCCAGGCCCATCCCCGGGCTCCAGCCCATGCTCTGTAACATCCGACTCCCCATGTTCGAGTCAGGGATCGGAGCCGCGTTCTCCCCGACCACTCCTGAAAAGAGAGGGCACAGGTCAGAAAGGAAAATTGCCGTCTCGCAGTTTTATGCCTCCGCAAAACAGTCACGTTGCTGTTCACATCCTCATTATTTTATCCTATTAGACATAGCATATGAATTCCCAAAACATGTTTTTTTTTTTTGTTTTTTTTTTTTAAAGGTCACGTTGACTCCAAGTGGACGTTTGTGTCAAATTTGAAAAAAAAAATCCTTAAAGGGCATTCCTGAGATATCATGTTCACCAAAACGGGACGGATGTGAGGTCACGGTGATCTCGATCTTTGATCACCAACATCTAAAATCGGTTCATCCTCGAGTCCGAGTGGATGTTTGAAGAAATATATATGGTACATATCTAAAATATAGTTCCAGGTGATCAAGGCTTTGCTGATTTGGTCTTCTTACATCACTATAAATGGGATGTGCTTGTGTTAGAGACGTCACCTTTGGCTCTAGGAACTAGTGACGGGCATGTTTTTAATGTGAATAGATTAATCAATCAAGAAAATAACAAGTAGGTGGTTTCATTCATTTGAGATTCTGTCTACCGTCTGGTTCTGCCTTTATATAAGAGTCTGTAAAACGTGTTGCACCAGAGGATCTCCTCCTGCGACGTCATCCCCACTGCATTAAAACTGTTGATACATCTAAGAATAATTATAATGTAATCACGTAAACACATCCAGTGAGAGAAAGTAGGTTCTCAAACAGTGTTTTTCATCCTCGTTCTTCCTGAAAGTTTCCGGTCCAGTAACAGATGCCAACTTACTGCCCCCTCCCCACCCCATCTTGATTTGTATGAAGCACGGGGCGAAGCCGCACGCTCATTTACACACTCGGTGGTTGAGTGCACGGTGGATGAAAGCCAAATTCTGACGTCGTGAATTTGGCAGGACCTCTGCTGCCGACCACCCTGCTGGTGCTCGGCACCTGCTGCTCTTGAGCACGACAACGGTGTGAAACGTGTTTGACGTTTGCAACGTAAAATCTTCATGTGCCTGCAAACAAGAGTGTCGCTGAGACGTTGTTACATCTTCAACTTGCAATACTTAGTTGTGTGATGGTGCATACAATTCTGGTGTCATGGTCTAAAATATGATCAGAAACGGGACATGGCTTCAGGGTACATATGTTATAATGGGAGTTTGACCGAACAGTAAAAGGCTTAGCTACCTCCCTCCTCTTACAAAAGCATCAACAGGCCCAGAGGTACAGAGAGTGGTTTGGGGGAGGGGGGATGATACTGGCTAACAGCTAATCCAGTATCTCCGCTCTAAAAGCACGACTAGCCAACTGAGTCTTGTCCAACTTGAGCTACAGCCTGGTGTAATAATAAGAGAGATATGCGTAGTGAAAGGCTCGTTGTTTACATCAGTGCATGTGTGAGACAGAAGGCAATGAGGGAAGCAGGCTGGTGAACATACTGAGCTCAACCAAGAGGGGGGGGAGGAAACCAGGCGACAAAGTGAGAGCCAAGAATACAATAAGAAGGGGAAGTAGGTACAAAGTGCCAGATGGTGTGTTAGGTCCAGCTAGGTTTGCATCCAATACCTGAGGGGGCGGTGGAGCCGAGGGGGGCTGCTTTTCGCCTCCGCTTGACATCCCCCGTACACAGAGAGCCCAGGTGCCCGCTGGTCTGTCTGCAAAACCAGTCAAGCGTGACAAAAATATGGGAGCATTAGTTTGAGCTGAAATAACACCGTGGAAAGTAGCTGGAAGAATCGCATTAAACAAGGTGAAAGCTACGGGGAGTCAGGTCGATGAGACCGCCGCAGAATCAAACGCAGGTACTAAATGAAATTAGTCCAGAGTTTTGGTCGTAAATCAGCGGTGTTTAGAGGGAAACTGTGTTTCTCACCTGCTGGCGGTTTTTACCGAGCAGCTTCTCCGATGCCCTTTGTCTGACCGCGGGTCCCAATGCAACTGAAGTGGCAGAGGAAAAACTTAAGTTGACGCTCAAGCAGGTTTGCATTAAATCCTTGCAATAAAACAACAACCACATAGGTCCTTTTTTTTTTTTTAAACTTTGCATTTGAGAGGGAAGACGTTGGTAAAGAAACATGGCTCACCTGTCCGTGCTCTCTCCTCGAGCCCGAGCTAAACCAGGGCCTGTTGGAGATATAATAATATATAATAAAGCCCTCAAAGTCCCACCAAGGCAGCGTTCCAGAGACAGAAAGCAAACTGTGGGTGAGCTGTTGTCCATCACAGAAGCATCTACCTTTATCGACTTTAACTTAGGAACATTACTTGCATTGGAACTGCAGGAAGTTGCAGTTTAATTAACTACGGACAGATGTGGAACCTGTAATATGAAATCAATATTATCCGTGTTCCAGTTTACTTTGCTTTTATATCGTCTCAATAATAAGTCATTTTGTATTGCATGCTGTTGTTTTATCTAACCCTGCTGTCTGCAAACAAATTAGTTTTACATAACAATTAAATCTGAATTGATTCTCGAGGTAAACTGTCGCTACTGTTCTCAGTCTCAACCACTTCATTTGTATCGCACCTTTCATAAAATTAAAATGCGACTGAAAGAGCTACAATCATAAGTAGATTAAGAAGAAACTAGAATTACCGCCTCGCAGTTGTGTGCCTCTGACAACCAGTCAAGTTGTAGATTACCTCCATGTCTGTCCACAACACCATCAACTCATCATTAGCCATCCTATTAGACATCTGTATGAAAGTGTCATAATTAGCATATGAATGATTGAGTAATGCCCAAAAAACGTGCCGTGTGAGGTAACGGCGAGCACCAAATTAATAATCAGTACAACTTTGAGTCCAGGTGGACGTTTGTGTCAAATATTGAAGAAATTCGCTCTCGGCATCCCTGAGGTATCGCGTTTTACCTTGAGCTATACCACCAAAATCGAATCGACTCTCTAGCAACTTGTGATGGTCATGTTTCTAAATGTGAATAGATGAACCAATCAGGAAAATAACAAGTAAGTTGTTTGTTTCACTCGTTTGTGATCCTGTCTACCAGCTGGTGCTTCCTCTATATAACTTATATAACTTAGCACTTATATAAAAGTCTGTGAAACGTCAACAAAGCCTCCGACCACGGCTCTCACAAGACATAAAAGTACAAATAAGAAAAGACAAAAATAGACGACAGAACAATCAGAATTAATTACAATTTGAAAAAAGAAAAGATGGGGACTCACTCGTGGGAGTCCTGGCTTTGTCGGCCCAGTCTGTCATTGAAGATTTGGCTGGAGCCGCCTGCCTGAGATGCCGGCTGGTTTACATGAAGACGACTCAGCCTGGCCTGGAACCCTGACCAACAGAGTACTGGTTCGTCACCACTTCATTAAATGATGAGGCCTGGTAAACAATAAGGTGGCCACTAAGGAAGAACCGTTATGTGAGGTACTGGGATTTATGTAAAACATGATCAGGTGTGTATCAATCGTATGAATAATGGGGTTTTTTTCTATTTAGTACTGCTGGTCATGAGTGAGACTGCAACAACAACAACCACATACACTCCTACAGTGTTATAATTCGACTAGATATTTACTACAGTGTGTCCGAGTCTCTAAAAAACAATCAGACTGCTGTTTTTACCTACACCGTGTGTATGTTTCCAGCCTACCTCTCTGTGCTCCGTGGCTCATGAGAGGGAAGGATCCGGTGAGGATGCTGTTGAAGACCGGGTCCGCCAGGTCCAGCTCCTCCGAGCCTGTCTCCCTCTCCCACCAGGGAACCACCCCCGCTATCCCACACGCACCTCCGGGTCCTGAACCGGAGCCCGGCTCACCCTCGTAGAACCAGTCGCTCTGCTCATCATCAGCTGGGAGGAGAGAGGAAAACGTGACCCGGCGTTTCACTTTACATAAGTTAAATACTACGTATATTACTACTGTCTATGTATACTTTCTTTTGAGTGTGAACAATAATACTAAACATATCTGAGTATTTACCTTGCCTTCCCTCATCATTGGTGTAGAGGCCTCCGTCACTGCTGTTACTCACGCTGCTGGTCTCGCTGAAAAAGAGAAGAGTGGAAGATGGAAATGCAAAGCCTTTTTCCAATTAACAGAAGCCCAGGTTTCTAAATGTTATATGCCATAAGAAGGGCATCTGAATACAAAACTTGCCGGAAAAATAGGTCAAACGTCAATCTAATTTGGGAACTTTCTGATCACGAAAACTAACATTTATGTCAAAGCGATGGATGTGTGATAGCCAGCAGTTCTTCCTCACCTGTTGACCTACCGTGTCTCATAAATAAAGTATACAGAAGCATGAAAAAAACAAGTCAAAACACTAACCACCTGTCACTCATTTCCTCGTCCGAACCCTTCTGCTCCTCCAACTCCATCTTGTCCTTGGACCCTTCCGTTGGAGAAGAAATGGGGTCCTCGCTCTCCACCACCACCCCTTCATCTGCAGCCTCCATCCCCAGCCTGTAGGGAGCCAGCTTCCTCTTCTTCACCCGGTTCTTCCCTCCCCCCGGCCCCACCATTCCACCTCCAGAGAGCTCCATGGCACACCTGACGTTGCTCGGACCCAGTCTATGCGGCCTGGCACCCGCGCGGGCTTTGGGAACAGGCGGCGGCCCCAGCATGGTGCAGGAGGGGGGTTCTGGTTCGACAGGTGGGTCCACCACCATGCGTTTGACCTTACGTCTCCGCCTGAGGCTGCGCGTTCCCTCTGCGGACCCCAGGACACCCAAGTCGTCGGGCCAAACCGGTCGCTTGCCTCGTCCGGTGTCAGCTGTTAGAAGGGTGCGCCGTTTGGGGCCAAGTTGTTCATCCGAGTCGCTGTTGTCCCGGGCATGGCTGTTGGCAGCAGAGACGCCCCCTGTACTGGCACGGTAGTCCTGCAGCAGACGTGACAGTAAATATCAAACGGGGATTCTGACGCTATATTTAGAGACTTGAGTGAGGCTAAATGTGTGCAACTTATGAATGTCGGTTGGTTTGTTGACACAAGCCCAAAGGTCCCGTGTGAACAACTGTCTTTGTACAAAATTATTGATCCCGACCCACTCGGGCCCAACTTGCCTTGTTGTGTTCTTCCAGACTGGACTCCGAGCCCTCACTGAGGTGGCCCGTCTCCCAGGGCGGGTGCGGGTTGTCCGAGCGTCGTTTTCTGCCCCTGCGCTTTCGAGATTGCCTCTTCAGCAGACAGCCCACGGCCAGCGCGTGGTCTCCTCCATCACCAAAACCACCACGAGCAGCCTGCTCGGAGCTCTCCTCCAGCGCTGACACCAGGTCGTGGACCAGCTCGTCCATCGTCCGGAAAAAGTGCCTGAAGTGGAAGCAAAAGAGAGAGGATCTTATTTCACACATTTCGACACAGGACTGGACACATTTAGGATCACAACTTATGCTGTACTTATGTCATCAGTGGGTGCAGGACAGCTATGGGTGCTGTTGGGATTCTTGTTGGTATGTGCGTGTATGTAGGGATGATTTGCAGATTGTCATTGATGGAGAAAGCGACATTTACGTCTGTAACAATTGTCAAGACAGTAGGCCGAAATCAAAGCACCGTGACGTTATTTAGCCAAACGGCGGCAGTGGAGATGTCTAACTGACATTAACAACGTAAAACACGGGCAACTATTAACTATTCACGTTAGCCAGATAGCTATTTATTCGCATTTTACACATGATTCGTTAAGTTGGACCCTCACTGCGTAATACTTACGTTTATAAACCTTCAGAGGTCTGATTTAAGAGCACTCCTCTGGATTTGACACCAACATTAACGTTACTCTTAGTCTTTAGACTCTTTAGTTAACTGTAAGGGTCGTTAATAGCTTCATGAGCTAACGCTAAAGCTAGCTTAAGTCAACGACAACAAACGTTGATACTAATAACAAATCACTAAAGAAGATAATTAGTCAAACAATAACAACCCAATATTGGTAGCTTTAAATTGTGGAGATTTTAAACGACTGTCATCGATAAATAAACAAAGAAGAAGCCCGTCGATAGTTGTATGTGATTTGCTGCTGCTAGCCAGTTAGCAACGCTAGCTTTAGCGCGTTAGCTTAGCTGGTTCACGAGAGTTGAGTGGACGTGAACAATATGTGAACGTCTCAGGGATTTCATTTCAAATACCACCTACCAGCCGGTTCCCGCTTTGCCGATGGTTTTTAGATTAGCTGCACGGAACATTAAAGCCCCCAAATTGCCAGATACCTTTAACCAGAAACTACGGACAAACGTGTGCACACCACATACACCATCCTGACACACAAAAGCTAAGCGATCAGCCAGCAGGATCAATACGCGACAGGAGGAGGACAGTGAGAGCAGCGAGAGGTATTATGCTGCCTTCACGTACTGCAGAAAAATCCGAAATTGGCATTGTCACACGAGAGCACGAGCACAGCTGCGTAGCCAAATAATAAATAACAATAATAACTAAGTAACCCTCCTCTTGTCTAGTGTGAAGTTCCAGAAAAGCTAGAACATGGACCAACCTGACTTAAAAAAATATATATATAATTGTTTCCCAAAAAGAGGCATTTTCTTTTTGTTAGTGGATGAAAGTGGACTGTTATTATCCACAGGAAATATGACAAAGAGGGTGCACTTTCTTTTTGGGATATGTCAAGTTATAATTTACAACCAATGACACATGAAGTCTAACAACCAAAGTATGTCTTTATAAATCGGATTTTAAATGTGGCAAGTGAATGCAACGCTTAATCCGCATGTGTTCACATTTTGCCCACTAGAGGGCGATGTAAATGTGTTTATTGAAAAGGCTTCGCAGCAGTAGCGGTAGATGCCATTGTTGAAAGCACTCAGCTGGCCTATCAAATACATACTAAAGGTCACCAGTTAAAAACCCATCAGTGGCATCAGTGTCATATTAATGACAGTGGTCACTGGAAGAGGCCCTGGTTACAGGGAGACTTGGACCTCAGTCCAATGCAACAGGTGTTCTGATCTTTTCTGAATGTCAGCGATGGCACTGCTGTGGTCAACAAGGGCAGCAAAAGGGGTCACACTCGCTGTGTTAACTAATGACAATTTTTACACTGTCAGGCATGCATTGGGGGGGGGGGGGGGGGGGGGCGCGGCCCCCGCGAGGGAAGTTGTCCCCAGAGGGGGGTGGGGTGGGGGGGGGCCTTT